GCACGTGTTTCTAATCGCTATATATGTGACTATTACTAGTCACAGTCGGTTACTTTCTGAGCTCCTTGGCATCTAAGCATGGATATAAAGTTGTTAGGAAGATTTCAGTGGTAATGTTTTTCACATCTACTAATTATTAAGGAGCACTAATTTTTATGCTTTGAAGAATTATTATTATTATTATTTTTATCTTTTTGAAGCAGGGTCTCCCTGTAGCCCCAGCTGTCCTGGAACTCACTATGTAGACCAGGCTGGCCTTGAACTCAGAGATCCACCTGCCTCTGCCTCCCAAGTGCTGGGACTAAAGCCATGCACCACCATGCCCAGCATATTATTATTTTTTTAATCATTATTTTTAAAAATTTTAATAACTACATGATTAGAAGAAGCATTTAACTACAACTTTAACATATTCAGTATCACAATCCAGAGCAAGAGTACATCTCTTTCAAAGTGGGTGCAAGTTTCTAGGTTCACAGTTATACAATATTGAACTCAGTATAAGCCCTGTAAGACATAAAATTGAATGAGTTATTTAACCTTTCAAAAAGATCTCCATTTCATTTTAGAATATATTGTTCCTTGCAGAAAGACTCATTGTTTTTGCTACTAACACTGAGATGTTGACGCATGCATCTATAATCCGTATGTATCTGATTATTACTAGTCACAATCAGTTGCATTTGGATCCTCGGCACCTGTGTATGTCTATAAAGTCATCGGGTAGGTTTCAATGGTAATGTTTATCACCTCTGCTAATTAGCATGACGTAAATTTCCATGCTTCCTCCTCAAATATACTTTTATTTAAATTTGTTGATTTTGTGTGTGTGTGTGTGTGTGTGTGTGTGTGATTCCAGTGACTTTTAAGTTTTACTTTGAGAAAGGGTCTTGTTAAACTTTTCAGGTTTGCTTACAGTTGTGGTCCTCCTGACTAAGCCTCCAGAGAACCTGTGGTTACAGGAGTGTTCCACCTTGTCCAGCAGTTTTATTTGTTTGTGGTGTTTTTTTTTTTTTGTTGTTATTTTTATTTTTTTGAGAGTGTGCTCAGTCAAGTAAATCCGTGTCTCAGCTTCCTTTATAGCTGGTACTCAGTTGTGAGCCACCAAGCCTGGTTACTATAAATACATTTTTAGTGTGTGCGTACATATGTGTATGTGTGGAGGCCAGAAATCAACTTGAGTGGCCCTTGATCACTCCTCATCTTATTATTTAAGATAGATTAGAACTTGGCTAGGCTGGCTGGTCAGTGAATTCTAGGGATGGGTCTCTCTGCCTCTCCAGAACTGGGATTACAACACACATTGCTGTGTTGGCTTTTGACATGGATACTGGGGATTCAAACCCAGGTATTTATACTCGTTGCATAGGCACTGTACCAAATGAGCTGTCTCCCCAGTCCCCAACATAAACATTTCTAAGGGAACGGACACACACTGCTAAAATGCCCTTCATTAAACAGACTACTTACATCTGGTCTATGCTTATTTTTTCAGTGTTGTTATGATCACAACCAAAGACAAACATGTGGGGGTAGAGCTGAGGAACAAGGATTTGAGAATCAGAAAATATTGGCTTTGAACTTTAAAATTTATTATATAATCTTAAGTAAACCTTGATTACCCATCAATTAATAGGCTTCAACCATTTCATGTGATGCAATGTTTAAGGAGGATGTGTAAAGCTACATAATTGGCATCACATGTACTAGAAACTTAAGTGGACATTACAACTTTGTTAAGTCTATATCCATATTAAGCTGCCGTATCTTCTGTAATCTAATGCTTACAGGATTCATAACTATTTTATTAATTACTAAGAAAGAATAAAAACTATCAATTAAATTCTAACATATCTTTCTTCATAGATTTCAGACAAGCTAAAATACAAGAAGATATATATCTGAGAATTGATAACATAGTATACAAAAAGAGAAACAGAATTTAAATGTAGTTACCCCATAACAGGGGTTCAGTGGCCCTAAGAGATACCACAGGCTAGTCCAGTGCCAGGAATGGACTCTCACTTTTGGAGCTGTTGATCAGAGAGATCCCATAGACCCTTGAATAACACTAGCTATTGCCTTTGCACTTGGTTACCCACCGTAACGTGGGAAGACATTATATAACTGGGTCAAAGAACAAACCAGAAAAAAACAAGCTGGTATTGACCTTGAAGCAACCACCTCTGTTGGCCAGGTTTCATAGTACAAGAAGGTGCTATATTACTAGCAGAGGAAGGCAATCATCAACCTTACCCAGCTGTGAACCCTGTGAGCTACTCAAATAACAACTGGGTTGGCAAAATAAACCCACTGGTGAACAGTGGCATGAATATTATCAACCATAATATCAACCACCTACTAACTGGACTTAAGGTCTGTTCCATAATAAGGAGTCCATACCTGACACTGTTATCAGAGCCAAGAACCTGTGGCTGGACAGGTCACAGGCCACAGGGGAGAAACCACTACTATAACTTTACTATATAGACAGAGTATTAAACTGATTCGTAATGATTTGTTGCTATAGCCATAGACTAGTACATTCTCAGTTCTCACCAGAGGAGGTTCTTCATGCCACAGATGGAGATAAACCTAGAGGACCATATTACTTTTGGTGCGAGACATTGTTTTTCCAACCTAGTGCTGAATAAACCTTTAAATTTATCCTAAGGAAATCTTTTTTCCCTTTTCTTTTTTTAAAGTCAAGATCTTGGCCTTGAATTCATGGCAACTCACCTTCTTCAGCCTCCCCAGTGCTGGGATTATAGACATGAACTACTACACTTGGCTTACCCTAAGCAAAATTTGTAGTCCATGAACCAACGACTAACAAACAAATATGCATGACACTATAAATCAGTGGTAATTTCATCATCCTGTATAGCACATTAATCATGTGAATAGAATCAGTACAATAGAATTTTGGAGCTAATAGCCTTCTTAGATCTTATTTAACATCTGAGAACAGTAGTATTGAGAGTTAAAATGCCAGTTAATACATCACACTGCTAATTATTGGAGGAAAATACAAAATGAAAATCCAGGTTTGCTGATTCTTGGTCTTTAGTATTTCTAGTTTTAATGATTAATCAATTTCTATCTTTTAAAAACATTTGCCTTAATATATGATTTATAAGAAAAATCCATGTAAGATTAAGGTTCATCCAGTTCTACAGTTGTCAGTCACTAGATCTTTATTAGCCATTTACTATGTATAGACACTACTTATCATGAAAGTTTTTGGAGAGATTTAGAAAACAAAAGCTTGTTTTGAAAGCTACAATAGTTCTTTTTTATTGTAAAAATTACCTAACATCAATTGTGCAAATCAGTGAGTTTCACTGTGACATTTCCATGGACACATATGCTGTGCTTTGAACTTATACCTTCTCTGCTACTGTACTTTTTCAGTTCTAATAGTCCCACTCCTTCCAAGTACCTCAGCAAACTCATAAATGATGGCACCGTAAACCTCTCACCATACTACATGATGGACTGACTGCAATGCCCTGTTTCAGTCAACAATCACTTGAATGTAGTCTTCCTTGATGACTGGTTCTCAAGTCCCTTGTGAATTTACTGCAGATGCTGGGACTTATATAAAATACTTTTATATACAACCTATGCATCGTCTCCTACATGTAAAATACTATGCACTTTATGTTTTGCAGACTAATGTTAAGAAAAGTGTGGATATGCTTAATTCAGACAATTTCCCCCCAACTAGTTCTGCTCTGTGGTTGACTGAATCTGGAGAAGTGGAACTTGTGGACATGGAGTCAATGGTACTAAATATAAAAGGCCCATAACTCTAGATTGCTATTCAAATTCCTACACTGGGACCTTTAACAAAGTCAAGAAAAAGCTTTTATTAATTAGTATCACTGACTTAGAAGAACATCTGAGCAACAGATATGAAGAAATGCTCCAATTCCTTTTGGACTGAGGATCTCTTTATGTGCTTGAAAATTACTAAGAACATCAAAAAGTTTGCTTATGTAAAATATACCTATTGATATTTACCATTTTGGAAAGAAAAACTGAGAAATTAAAAGAATTTCTATTTTCATCTAGAAATAGCCAAACAATATGTATTCACCACTTTAAGAACAAAGAATTAAGTAAGGACTGGTGGTTTTTTTTTTTTTTTTTTTGGTAACTCTCATTAAGTAAAAAGTATCTCTGGGCCCAACGAGATGGCTCAGAGTAAACTGGCTTGTTTTTATGCCTGATGACCTGAATTCAATCCCTAGTCCACGTAGAGGGAAGCAAGTCCTGAAAGCTATTCTCTGACCTCCACATGTGCACCGTGGCATGCACATACACACAAACACACAACAAGAAAAAAAAAATTTTAAAGGAGTATCAGGAATCATGCAGCCCTCAGAAAACACCACATTCATTTGCAAGAGAATAAAAGTGATAAAGGCAGATAATATCCTAATATCATAAAATTATTTCAACTTCAAGTGTTCTTTGAAAGGGTTCTGAAGTGCTTCCGAGGTCCCCAGATCATACTTGGATTTGTTTTTTCCAGTGCTGCGGATTGAACCCACGTCTCAAGCACACTGAGCAAGAGCTCCCCTCTGAGCTACATTCCCAGAGCCTCATATCCTACACTGAGAATTACTTCAGGAACACCAGGCTTTGATGGCACTAAGACAATACTGTGACTGTAACAGAAAAAAACAAACCAAAACCTGTGGGAAGCGGGCGCGGTCGCACTGGCCAAAGATGGCGCCCTGGCCGGCTGCCAAGCCCTGTGACACCCACTTGTTTATCCCAGTTTAAGCATGCGCAACAGAGTAGATCACGCGCCATCAGCATGACGCCCTGCGTCATGCTGCGTGATACTGCCGTGTGGCCCTATGAGCTTCGTTGCTCCAAGTCTGCTGATCCCGTGTCTGACAGCGATTGGTTGTGTGCGTGGGATAGAAGATATAAGAAGGGAGACCAGAATAAAGAGAAGAAGAAGCTTGAACCTCATCTTGGTGTCTGTGTCGTCTCTCCTTGACTCTGCCGGACGGAGTCTTGGGTTGCGGCAAAAACCAAACAAAAAAGCACTACCAACAACTCTAAATCAAAAAGTGATTCAGAAGAGTTGGCTTGCAAAAGTGAGAAAATTTTGGGTATACCTTATTCAGTTTGGTTTGCTTTAAATTTTTCTTTTTTTAAAAAATGAGTACATAAATGTTTAAAAAATGTAGCTCAGTTGGTAGAACACTTGCCTACCATGTCCTGGCTTTAATACCAAGCACCACCATTACATACACTGGGTACAGTGGCTCGTACCTATAATCCTAGCATTCAGAAAGTGAAGGCAGGAGGAAGAGAAGCTCAGCTACACTTTAAACTGGAGGACAGCCTGGGATACATGAGACTCTGTTTAGAAAGAGAGAGAGAAAAGAGAAGAGAGAGGAGAGGGAGAGGGAGAGGGAGAGGGAGAGAGGGAGAGAGGGAGAGAGAGAGAGAGAGAGAGAGAGAGAGAATGAGAATATGAATCTATGTCTCAAAAAGTGCTTGCAATAAACATATGCTAAAAATCCTAATAAAAAAAAGTAGGTGTTGGCTGGGGAGATGGCTCCATCATCTGCTAAAGTCCCTGTCATTTTACTGCATGAAGACTTGAGTTCGGAGTCATGTAAAAAGCTGGGTGTGTCTATGGCCCTTGCCTTGTGGGGAGATAGAGACAGGCAGATCTCTGGAACTCATTGGCCATCCAGCAAAGCCCAATCGATGAGCCCCAAGTTCAGTGAGAGACCCTTTCTCAAAACCTAAGGTGGAGGGTGATCAAAGAAGACATTCGACACTTACCACTAGCCTCCACATGCTTACAATACACATCCATATCCCCCATATAAAATGAAGATAGATTTAAAAGAGAGAACCATATATCATAATTTTATAGGAAAATTTTTTTTGGATGTACGTAAAAGAATAGCGTGTGTGTGTGTGTGTGTGTGTAAATGAAGATAGATTTAAAAGAGAGAACCATATATCATAATTTTATAGGAAAAGTTTTTTTTGGATGTACGTAAAAGAATA